CTGGGCTGATACTTCTAGCTGGAGGGTTGGCCATGCTCTGACCTGCAGCTTTGTCAGATAAAGCGCCAGGTAAATCCTCCTGACTTCTTTCCCATGACGAGATACTATTAGTCGAAGCCACAGAATGAGTAGAGCCGCGCCGAGATTCTGAAATATCATTGAACTTTCCGGCCAGTTGCTGGACCCTACTCTTGCTTGGTGATTGAGATCTCGATCGCGGCGGACGTTCCAAGGCTGGAGCACCAACGCTTGCGTGAGACTCAAGGAAAGCGGCTTGCGAAGCCTTCTCCGCTTCAGCTAGCCCAGTAATTGCCTTTTCAGGACTTTGCCTCATCGCAGAGGCAATATCCGCTTCCCTGGTAGCCAAGTTTGTGGATGGTGCGCCAAAGCCCCCCTCGGTTGGGCTAGATGATGTAGGACTTTGAGAGCTCAGCACAGCATGCTCTGGTTCTGGTAAAGATCTTTGAGGCTCAATCGCTGGGGATCTCGCTGGGCTCTCACCAGGGCTTGGTGTATTCAGACCGGCACCTGCAATCGATCCAGCCGAAACATTGCGAGAGTGACCTGGTGACGGCTTCCTTGCAACCTGAAATCCCCCAGTAAGCATGACGGCTGAGAGTGGTCTCGATATAGGTGTGCTGGTTTCACCCGTCTCTTCAGCAATGGCAGGAGTAGAAGTTTCTCGTCCCTCGGCGGTTCTGGCCTTTAGTGCAGATGCGGTGGAGCTTGGCACACGACTCATTATTGGGCTGATACCAGAGGTGCTATCGGTATTGCTTCTTGATACGCCCGAATCTGATTGTGAAAACGTGTCACGCTTTGATATAGGAGTAGGTGGAACGGAACTATCATCCGTTCGAGTGAATGCCTGATCAACAGCAGAACGAAATCCCGGGTCGCCCTGAGGTGGTAGAGCGCGGGTCTCATTGGGGGCAACTGGAGATGATGTAGTGCCTAAAGCAGAGGAGCTTGACCAAAAATCGTCACCGAATGTTGAGATACCATGAACTGGGGGTAGAGTAGGCATCCGCGAGGGTTGCTCTGCAGGTTTTGGACGATCCATGGCAGACGGCAAATTCTGTCCTGGGGCTGGCTGAAAACCCTGATTTCCAATATTAAAGTCTGGAAGATACTCGCTCTTTCTCTCGGCAACGGGTTCTAGCATTGGCTGGAGCATCCTATTAGTGCTTGATTCGCCGCTGTCGCCAATACGCTCTATGCTAGGCCGCCGTCCATTCATTCTACTCAAGCTCTCGGCACTGGCGCGTTCCCTAGGACCCCGTGGAGCTGTATGTTCGTTCACAGGCCGAGATGATAGAGAATCTAGACTAGGTCGCTCTGAGTCTACAGACTGTCTTTCTTTCTCCTGCTCCTCCTGAACACGTTTATATATATCTGCAGGTCTGATGAACGGAAGCGGCTTTGTGGAGTTGCTTGGAGTACGTTCTCGGGGTGGAGGTGAAGTCGTATTCGAAGGCGCAGGCTGAGCAAAGGGTGGATCACCTTGATCCGATGGAGAAAGCTGGCTTAGACTACTTTTGCGAGCAGGGAATTGAGTACTTGCTGGAGATGCAGAAGCACTACCAGGAGCAGGCGACACCCTTGTATGCAGAGGAGGCGGTAATGCAGACGGAGAAAAGTCTCGACGATGCTGAGGGGTATCACTAGTATCAGACTGAGCAACACTTGGTTGTCGAACACCAGACTGTGGGGGAGCTGTTTGTGGTTGCTGATTGGGTATATTCGGACCCGTATCGCCGGGATTTTGATGAATCAGTTGTTGCAACGAGGGAGCCGGCACTGTCGCAGCTCCCGCAGGAATCGTGAATGCAGAAGCACTGCTTGCCGGATAAATTGGCGATTTTGAACCTGCCGTCGAGGACGGCTGTGGTAATACTGAAGAGAATGCCCTCCTCTCGTCGCCAGCGTCGAAGGAATTCTTGCGCGGTACCAGAGGTAGGCCAGCAGTTTGAGGGTCGGTAAAATTTCTTCCCGATTCACTGGCACTCTGGCCCTTCTGTCGAAAACCAGTTGGAGCAGTCTGTTTGGATGGAGGGGCCGGTTCCGGTTCGTCCGCGCCATACTCATCATACTCGTCGTATTCACCCCAGTCATCGCCATCATAGGCGTATGATTTTGCTTCAACCCATCGCTTTGTCTTTGCGCGATTGACATTGGTCTTGAAGGATGGAGGTTGGCCTGTGGTAAAGACGTTTGGTGGCTGTCGGTCGCTGCAGATGGTTAGGTGACGATATACAGGGCTGAATATCGTGGTACTTACAGCGGCGATCTCGTCGTCTCCTCTGTAAACTGATATGGGCGAGACATTGTCTGCAAGTCAAGGAACCCAGCCTTTTAATATGCTATGAGGCAAATCTTAATACCGCTGCTATGTAGAGCAGCTGTTCGGGCGATGCCCTGAGGGCAACTGGCGCGGAGCGCATAAACCTCGAGAGTGACAGCAAAGCGGCCGTTTCGAAAGGCGATGAATGGGTCGATGGCGAATTAGCTTCGATGAGGTATTGGAGGATGGTCTAGCGAAGTTGTAGGTATAGAATAGGTAGAGCAGGGCTACGCTGCATTAGAGAGCGTCAAGCTCGAGGACGTCGTTGGTGGGAGGCTGCGGCGTATGGAGTCGACGATGATGCGGCGATCTTATTTCCCGACAACTATTCACCGTCCTTGCTGCTGACTTGTCGGATATGAGAAGTCGAACAGGAGGGTGAATCCAATCACACAACTTGAGTAAAGCGAGTGAATGGGTATTAAGAAGAGGTGTGAGATGAATGCCAGATGGTCGTCGCCAACGAGGCCTTCATTTCATCTGACGAGCTTTGGCGCATGCCCTTGGTCCACCGAAACCTGCAAGCTGGGTATGGGGGAGTGTGGCTGAGCACCGCCTCGCCCTTTGTCATCGGCAGGGATGAACATATGGCCCTCCGATGATTGATGAGGACAGCAAGGAGAAAGTTATTTTCGAACATCAACGGCCTTTGTCCCCAATACTCCACCGTACATCTCCTTATCGACGCTTTTCGCACCCTCACGATAATCTACAAACAAAATCCCCGTCCGTGTCAATGTTGTCCAACTAGCCCGGAGCCAAAATTAAGCCTCTGGGAACGCCTACACAGCGATTCCTTTGAAACGCATCGCATCCCTCATCCCCGTCTCCACCACCAACCATCCCGCAGACTGTCTCCAACTGCTCCACATCTCATTATGGCCGCTGCATCCATACAAGACCGCACATCTGAATTCCGATCCATCCTCGCCCAAGCCCAACGACGACACGCCAGTTCCAAAGTTGGCGCCCAGCGGCAATCCCTCCTCACAAACGCGCAAAAGGAAGCAGCAAATGGAAATGCAACGAGCACATACCGGCAGCGCTCTGACTTTGCTCGCAAGGCCGCCGAGATAGGCCGCGGTATCTCCGGCACCATGGCGAAACTCGAGCGACTAGCAGAACTCGCAAAGCGAAAGACTCTCTTTGACGACCGGCCTGTCGAGATCGCTGAGCTCACCTATATCATCAAGCAAGACCTCGCTGCACTCAACTCGCAAATCAAATCTTTGGAATCTCTCACCAGGAACCAACATCCGAACGTGCGCCCAGGCGGAGGCGACCAAGAAGGCGAACATAATCAAAATGTAGTTACCTTGCTGCAGGGCAAGCTATCCGACGTCGCCGTCAACTTCAAAGACGTTCTGGAAGTACGGACGAAGAATATGCAGGCCTCACGGTCGCGGACAGAAAACTTTGTTTCCTCTGCAGCATCACACTCCCAGTCAAACCTCGACCCGGCACGGACCGACTCCCCACTGTATCAAACCCCTCAGCGCGGACGGTCGCCAGGATTCCAGAACACGAACGCCGCGCAACAAGACCTCCTTTCCCTCGAGCCCTCAGGCTCATCCGCACTTACCCGAGGCGGTCCGCAATCGGATGCGCAGCTCCTGCTGATGGAAGAAGCCCAACCACAGAACATGTATATACAACAGAGAGGCCAGGCTATAGAAGCTATTGAAAGCACCATCGCCGAACTAGGTAGCATATTCGGCCAGCTTGCGCAGATGGTGTCGGAGCAGAGCGAACAAATCCAGCGGATTGATGCTAACACTGAGGACGTGGTAGATAATGTACAGGGTGCGCAAAGAGAGCTAATGAAATACTGGAGTCGGGTCAGCGGCAATAGATGGCTGGTCGCAAAGATGTTTGGCGTCCTCATGATATGTATGTCCCTTAAAACCCTTTCCCCCGAGCCCGCAATCGACCAGAATGCTAACAAACACCAACAGTTTTCCTTCTCTGGGTCCTCATTGCTGGCTAGCCCACCCCATCTGTTTTTCCATACAGCATATACATTCATCTCGGCGTTCCAGCAAAGGAAGGTTAGGTTGGCTCCAGCTTGGTCTGGGTTCCAAGAAACCCTCGTGGGTGCGCCATCCGGTTTGGCCACAATGTCCATCTGTACTTCTAGCGGTTCATCTTCTTTATTGTATCTCATACACATGGCGTCTCAGAATATGGCATCCCAGCGGGCTATCCGAGCCAATAGATCTTTATTAATAGAACATAAACGTCCCTTGAACAACCTAAGAATAGAAGACCGTTACAAAGGAGGTCACTTTTCAGTAACCATATTGGCCACCTGTTTTTGTTACTTGCAGCACCACAGACCACAGCTGATATAGAGCATCACTCAAGGTCTATTCGCCATAAGCAATCAGGATGCCATTTTTTCCCCGTTAATTCTCGCTGAAAATTAATGCGGATGCTCTCTCTCGGTATCTCTCATACATTGCCCTCAGTCTCTATCAGATCTACCTCTACTTTATTTTTCTCTCATCGAAACGAACACATCTTTAGACTAGAGACATCCTCGACGCATGAGGACAACGAAAATATCTGAGCAACCACAGAACCCACAGGGTGAAAAGAAAAAAATAAAAAAAAAAATGAAAAAAAATGAAAAAAATGAAAAAAATGAAAAAATATATGGTCCCGACGAGGGTCGAACTCGCGACCTTGGCGTAATCGGTAAATATTAGCACCACGCTCTAACCAACTGAGCTACGGGACCTTGATGAAGGTATCTAGGTAATATAAGATATATATATGGTTTTAGTTATAAATCCTATAGCACAGTCCTTCGAGCACATGTCGTTATGCTTCTCCCCACCATGAAATGCGCCGCACTCGTCATACCCGATCTTCACTCATGTACGTACTAATAGTTCCAGTGAACGTTAACACGACTAACAACGATGATTAGTGCATCCATCGCACTCAAAGAAATCAAATGTTCATCACAAGTGAAAACAAAAAGAAGTCCCGAGTATTCCGAGGCATATAATTACTTGTTCCGTTTCCAAGGGACCGACGTCTTATCTCCCCTTTCCGAATTAAACGCCCGGCTTAGCGCGTCTAGCTACCTCCAACCTCCTTCAGCTGTCCCCGGATATCGAAGTCAGAAGATCGATCGCTCTCGGTTAGATATCTAACCGCTGCGGTTGAAAGCGTGGGCTGATTTAAATGAAAAGGAGCTGATTCCTGAATCATGGCGCCCAAATCAAGAGGTGGTGTGGTTGTGGAAATCAGGTAGAGAGGATTGTTGAACAATCGGTTTTGACAGGACCTGTCAATGTAGTATAGTTAATGTACCTGTCGAATATCAAGTGCAGTTAGGTATAGCTCAGCTCCATCAAATGCGTGAGATGTCTGATGGGTCTCCTGCCTTCCCTGGAGGGATACCACAGACCACAGCACCCACTTCCAGTTATCGTGAGGAAACTGTACAGGGTCGAATTCTGACAGCGATTCTGACAGCAGCCCTGGATAAATCTCTCATCCTCTCTTTTAGCCATGATAGCTGCTGCATCGGCCCGCTGCCAGCTTTGTTTCATGTCATGATCTATCCGCCTGTTTCCCAGAGCTTCATACAAAAGTTACAGCCAAGTCGGCACGTTGAAACGGCTGATTTAATTGAAGCGACGATGTGCGGCAATTGAAACCGAGCTGGTCCGTCCCTCCCGTTGGCCGAGTTTGCTGGCCTTGTCGGGCCTTGGCACGAAGATCTGCCCTTAATCCTCCAGAAGATGGAATTGAGCGTCGCTGACTGGACGAACCGCCGAACTAAAGATCGAAAGCGCTCCGAAGGGCCTTGGCTTGCTGCAGCCCGCTTGTCTGACGGCGGCGGTCCCGAGCTGCAGCCCTTGCTGTCATTACAAACTACATACGACATACGACCGGACTCTCCACCCCACAGGCTTCGCAGGACAGAACACTGCCAGCCCTCTAACTTTCTGTGGGAAGCAATACACTCACACTCCTATCCCTCTCTCTTTTTTTTTTTTCTCTCTCTCACTTTCTCTCTTTGTCTCTCTCTCTCTGCGATTGTTCATATTTATTGTTCGAATGATCTTGCACACCGCCCTCGGATAGGACCTCGACTTTTGGCGGCAGCGCATGTGCGCTTTGGCGCGAACATGCCATCGAGCGGCGCCGACGATGTTGTAGATGTGACATCGTCTCTTGTCTTTGACGATACCGTATACCGCAAGGAAGTTCTCTCCTTACCCGAGGACCAGACCGAGGACGAGCTGGACGAGCGAATCGCCAATCAGGCTAAAGAATCCGGTGTCGAGGATCCATACCGATACTTTTCCCCAGAGCTACAGGACTTGTCCACTGCCATGCCATCTTTGACCGTGTCCAGCGAACACAGAAGCTCCATGTCAATCCGCTCCCGCGAGTCTCAGTCGACGGGATTTACATCGGACCCTTCCCGAAACTCAAATGATCACCACCATCTTGAGAACCCCCACTCCACACGGAACGCCCCACAGCCTCGCAGCTCAACGTCATTTGAGAACTACGATGCAGTACTGGACAAGTTTCGGCCAGTAATACGCAATTCGTATTCCTCATCCACATACACGACTGCGGGATCGACGCATTCGCCCTCTTCGACGTCGAAACCAACCAGCATAAAACGTAAACGAGGTCCGAGCCTTCTGTCCATGTTCCGAAGAGAATCACAGTATGTATTCCCATACCAGATTCTCTGGTCACACCCTAATCCCACCTTCTCCAGTGCATGTACATCTCGAGTTCGCCACGGACACCCTGTTAACCCCTTCACACCACGGCTCGAATGCGGTCACACCCTAACAAAATACGCAACACGGATACATATTCAAGACGCTCTTGAGAATGAGAATCACTTGCCACCTAATTGTTGTGGAAAACCATTGCCAAAGTCAGTCCTGGAAATGGTGATGACGAAGGAGGAAATGGACGATTTCGTGGACAATTTCTTGCATTCTCCTAGATTTGACGATACCCACGAGACCACTTATAGCCACAATGGTTTGGTTGAGGTTGGAACACCCGCGGAATGCCAACCCACCAAGTCCCGTGACGTCCACGTGGCACCGAAGTCTGTTACCACTCAACACACTCCAGAAGACGATGAATGCCTGAACGCAGCAATGGACGATGAGGCATTCTGCAAGTTACGAGCAGAGCACGAGGAACAATTTCAACGTATAGTGGCTTTTGAATCGAAACAGAGGCATGCGCTATCTACCTACTATGATTGGTCACGCAAAAGATTATCGTCACAATTAACACGCAACAAAGTCGAGCGGGCTAAAGAGGTGAGGCTCGCTATTGGATATAGAACAATACTTACTAACCACAATCTAGCACGCGCATGATCTCGAACAACTCGACGAGACGCAAGTAGCAGCCGAGCACGACCTGCGAAGAGCGCAGGTCCTAGAAAGCCAAAACGTCGCAACTGCGTTGAAATACATGGAAGCTTACTGTAACGGCTTCTGCAACTCTTCAGCAGACATCAAACACACCGTCTCGGATGAAGATCGCAAAAAACTCAAACGACAGCACGCGCTACAAGATAACCTCCCGCATAAACACGAGAGCGCCATTAATGTTCTCCGCGCGAAGCAGGAAAAGGACGTCAGAGTCCGCATGAATAAACAGTATGCTGAGCTCGCGCAGATGGATCTGGAGTTTGAGAAGGAGATGAAGGGGTTGGAGGTGAGGTTTTTGAAGGACTTGAATCGGTTGGGGGTGTTGGTGGAAATGAGGAGGAGGAGGGCTGTTGCGAGGTGGGAGCTTAAGTTTGAGATTTGGAGGAAGGGGTTTGAAAAGAATCGGCAGCGGCCTTGGGAAGGAAGACTGCCTCATCTGGATTGGCCGGATCCGACTGCGGAGGTGCCGTTGGAGGCAGAAGGCGCGTTGGCCCAGTACTTTCGGCTAGATGCTGCTGTTAGGTAGATATGTGGTGAAAGGTAATGCCGGCTTCGAAATTAGGCTTCTCTCAGTTTCCTTTCGTTACGTTCGTTCCGTCCAGGCATGCATAGCGTGGCGTTTCCAATTTTTTTTTTCTTTCTTTTTTCTTTTTACACATTCTCTGTGCGCATTTCCGCGATTTCCAGAGTCGTTTTTTGGCAATACCCTGTTGATCCAGACACATTTTCTGAATCATGCTTACGTTTTCCACGACGATAGGGAGTTGGCGGAGTGATTTGAGATTGTTTGGAGGCATTCATAGTCGCGGGCATTTAAGCGTCAGATCATCGTCATTATATAGTTTGTAAATATAATGGGAAAGAAATACCTAGTTAAGTACTGCCTATTCTCGAGGAAACTTCGTCCTTTCCCGTACTCCTTATTGCATTAGATGGCATCATCTCAGACTTCTTTTCAGCCAAGACCGCCAAAGAGACAGCAATTCGTATGTATGACTAGGTAGATCTAGAAATGCCAACCGACAGCCTGCCAATGTTATTTTGTATTCTTTTGCTGCTTCTTCATTCACCGGCTGGGTTCTATTTCCTCGGCGAGCGCCGCCCACAGCCTTCTTGAATATTGAAGCAAAAGCGACGCCGAAGGATGCCAAATATGCCGATGCCGCACCGACACATGGCCCAGGGTCTTCGGCAAGCCGCACGTGAGCGCGCGCGTGCGTGCACCACTTCCGGTTTAACGCGTGCTGCAGGACGCGAGCCACCATGCATTGGACCTTTTGGTTGGTAATGCTGCTTTGCGGATGCGCGATATGGAATGCTAGCGTCTGAGTCATCGAGCTGAAGTTTTTATTTTTTTATGTTTTATTTTTATTTTATTTTTTTTTTTGAATGTATATCTGATGCCTGAGGAGAAGATGGCTATTGACCGGAACCGGTTCCCTTTTCACATTCAGCAGAGCAGTGAACGGCGCTGGAAGTACGAACCCTCGACTCACCTCCGGTCTTAAAAGCTTACGATACCTACGCTGCCCGTCCGATCCTCCCTCAAACCAATCCCCATCCTTTCTCCTGACATCCCGACGAACCTCAACCACTGCAACCATGCCCCTCCCCCCAACCACCACAGCCGCCATCCGCGCAATCTGGACCGCCGTCCACTCCCCCGCCAGCATTCCCTTCCCCACCACCGTCGCCCGACTCGCAGAGTACGGCGTGAGGAGATATCGGATCGATTATGTTGCTGAGAGTGTGACGTGCTATTTTGCGGCATCCGAGGAAACCGAGTCCAACCTCTCCAGCTCCGATCCCACCAACACCACTACAGGCATCGAAAGCAACGCCGGCACCGAAAGCAGCGTCGGCGTCGACGTCAAAACGGACATGGACATATCGCCTCTGCCGCACCACAATGGAATCTCGGCTGGCGGCCACGCATGGGATTTGGACGCGTTACGCGAAGCGATCAGGGACGTGCAGGGGGGGAAGATACGGTATACGGAGTTTAGAGATCGGGTTGTCGGGGCCGGGGTGGTGGAGTATTTGGTGTTTTTTGGAGGAGGTGGCGTGAGGGGGAGGGTGGTTTATGTTGGGGACTGTGGGGATTTGTGGGTTGAAATGTTCCCTTAGGGGTGGTAGGAGGATTGGGGGAGAGGACAAATTTGTGGGTCGAGTGTTTTATACCTTATAGGGAAGAGAGGAGAGAAGGGGGTTTGCTTGTTGAATGTTTTTCGGTGGGAAGTAAGATGGATCTAATAAGGAGCCTGGTAGAACTGGAAAATGGGCTTGGAAAAGAAAGAGGACGAGA